TTCTTTTTATTAAATCAATATTTATACAAGTGTATTTCAACAAGTCAAAGAAAATGAGCCAATGAATGGCGTTGAATATGCGAATTCAAAATGGATTTGAAAGAGCTAAAGCTTGTGGTTTATGTGCAGTTTAAAAACAGATCTCAGATGAAATATGGCTTTTTTCACAGCAACTGCCATAACTAATTTTTACTAATATAAATTTTGTAGTCATTAATGGACACCTATCCATCACAATTGTCTTGTTTGGCTCGTATTTGGATTTGTCGGTAGGAAGTGAAACCATTTTCAGTTTACAAACATTAGTTTGATGAGCATTTTCCACGGGTAATTAGCATCAATACCGCCGGTTGGTTACATCCTCCTGGAGCATAAAGGGCCGTAATTCAACAGAATATTCTACCCTACCTACACGGGTAGATTGAGGTGATTTACAAACTACCACGTTTGCTGGTCAGCGGCATCACCTTCCCTCCATCCGTGATGTTAGGCTCACTTACGTTTGTGGTGTGTATGAATGTTGCTTTGATCTGTAGCGTGGTGTCGAGTTGAGCTTGACTATGAACACCGCTACAAGACTACGTGCCAATAGACCAATAAGATTCCGGTAGGCCAAAAATCAGAAGGCAGATGATAGTAGTAGTTGCAATATATTTGTTGGTATCGAAAGAATACCGAGATCGTGCCAAAGGAGTACAGATGCGATCGGCAAGGAAATGTACGTGCGTAGTCGAAAACCGCGTAGAAGCAATGGAATACAATGGAAGACCAAAATGGCTGTTATTAGCACAGTTAAACAAACGAGCACAATAAAACAATCACTGGTACAATTGGTTATAATAATAATTGTTTTCATCGAACCAATCGCGTTCTGTTGACAAAAGTAGGTCACTACAGATCTAAGCCCTATGTTGCACACTTTGTTGAGACGCCACACTGCTACCAGTTTCTTGTTATAAGCAAACTAGACAGCTAAGGTTTTTGTATTGTTGGATGTATATCCTTTTATTATATCACACTGCTATGAAGCCAACTCGTGGCACACGTTATAAAATGCTTGTCAGATGATATATGGTTCAGAGATCATAAGGACAAATAGCTGGTTATAGAATATGAAAGGACAGTTTACAGTTACCAATTTTATGAGTATGACGATTGATATATAAGAAGACAAAACATCTGAATTCAGATTTTAAAAAAATGTGAACCGCTGGAAGGTCAAACCGAAGAATTTAACATTGACTAAGCACGTTATGATCTTCATCTGATCTGCCATAGTTGACCAGCGCTCATGAAGTTGATGAGGCATCTGTCCATTTGAAACAGAAAATGAAAGGGTAAAAGAGACTTCATGGGAAAACTTAGGCGTCTTTAAGCATTAGCGGAACTACGAATCCGAACTGGAGGGGTAATAACATAAAGGCGCAAAGGCAAAGCTATGATTTATAGACGATCACTGGATGACGCGGAAGTGAGTTTGAGAACGTCCACCTGCTCAATGATGCTAAGCGAGGGTTATAAACTTATATGAAGTATAGGGATTATGATTGGCAGTTGATCGTTGGAGTTAAGAATCAAATGAAATGTTTTCATCACGAACTGACATTACATGAAATGCTAAAAACGCGATTTAAACAAATGGATGAATGGACTTAGTGCCAAAATTCAAAACATGTTGTTCTAAACCTCATTTTGTTGGTTCACAAGTCATAGTCTAGGCAGCATGACTAATATGAATAATGAGAGGAGGAAAACTGTGTATTTTATTATTTGTTTATTCATATTCTAGTGGCAGTGTTAATCACTTGTATTCATGGTCGGTCTAAATATTTTGCGGTCCGTAACATAGTTCCTCAGGATTAAGAGGGAGTTCTACGAACAGTGGATAAGAAATTATACTAATTTGAGCATGGTGATAGCGTTACTGTTAGGAATGTGTTTTGTAAATCTGCTCCACCATAAACCATACAGTTAGTAGTGTACATGTGTTGTTTCTAAGCGTGTATACAGGGTCATGGATTGTAATTTATATAGAAAGAATACAGAGATCGTTCCAGGTTACAAGTGAGTTTACTGAGCGTTACCGAATTCGTGAAAGGTCACCATCAGAGGAAGAATGTATGTTTTTAGTTCAGTTAAACAAACAAGTTCAGTAAAACAATCCCTAATTGTTTCCATTACACCAACCGCGTTCTCTTAATAAAAGTAGGTCACTACGAGATAAATATTAAAGTTTGTGTACAATAAAAGAGAACAACAGAAAGTGCGATATAAGTGTGAAATAATAATTGTTATGAGAGAAGCAGTTTAGTGAGGAAAAATACAACCAGAAGTAGATAATTACAGTCAAAGAGATTACGTTCACTTTTACGATGAAGGTAAAAGGAAGTTACAGCAGAATCTCCACCGGCCGCTATTCCGAGCCACATCCGATAACGTCTCTAGTCATTATATTGTACCATCCCCAGGACCATAATCATGGCTTGGTGATGGACTGACAGATGCCAGCCCTGTACAAGTTTCTTACACACCACGACATCATGTCATACACTGAACATCTGTCAGCCTCTTTCCAAGTAGTTCTAGAGTTGGCAACTAATGCTCAATATGGAATTTTCTGAGATGACATTCGTAAGACATATACAAGCCACTGAAAACAATGTTTCAAGATAGTGACACCAAACTGCAAGACTTTAAAATCCATAAATAACTATCTAAATCCCTAGGATTAGTTACGTCGAGTGACTAGTTCAACATGCAGTGGACATTATCAAGTTTCAGTGACCGAACTGAAATAACAACAAGTGAACTGTGATGATTAGAAGGATTCGAATTTTTGTACAACCTAGGAATCCCAGAAATAACGCGATTTAACCAAAAGGTACTAGATGAATGCGAACGGACGTATTATATTTGATATTCGAAACCAGGCCGTTATCATGAACAGTGAAATGGTTAGTTCGCACGAATACCATATGAGCACAAAGAAGTTATTCGGTACATACATGCTGGTTACAGAAGTATTATAGAGATATTGGAGATCAATGGTTGTTCACTACATTTTGTTGCCTTGTTTCATATACACATGCCAAATTCATGTGATTGTATACTGGTTTAAGTATACAGTATCTACTTGACCGCGTGAACCTCAACTCAATGTATTCTATTCCACTGGTTAACATTCACACAGTTGTTTGAGAAGTTCAAATGACCCATATGTGAATCATCCTTGTTTTCAATTTCCAGTGTTATTTTTATCCTAATGCAATTGTTAATGATCCTAAGTGCCAGTGTTAATATAAATCGCATTCAATTACAAAGATAACCAATTCTGAAGTTATTACTAAACTACTTATATTTCATTTCAGTAGGTTCTGTCATATTTTGATCAGTCATTACTACTTCACAGACTGGGCAACTCAAGTACTTATTTATGCATTCAGGAACACTTATGTTCTAGTTTTTACTTATTCTCTGTCATTGAGTATAAAGATAACGAATATAACATCATCTACGATTATAATAGTTTGATGAAATAATATTCTTTCAACTTCATAGTCGGAGACTCGTGTTCTCATCGTAACCTTATTGCATAATCTACACATTAGAATAGTAAAAGCAGGTATATTAACCACTATAATAGTTATGGAACATACATATAAACTGCAGCAAACTTGTTATTGATCTAGTCAAACAAATATTTGAACTATCAATAGACAACTCCGTTTTTTAACAATGTTAACAACACACAAACCGTATTGTGTATATTATTCTCAAAATATCAGTCACCAGACATAAAGTATATCATATCAGAATGATTATATAATATGTATAAGTAATGACAATGAATATATAGATATTGTTTATAGTAACATTTGAGTACATGTTGCTCTGTTTAGGATATTATCAACTTATTCCAGTGTGAATGTTCACTACACAACTAATCATATTACAAGTTCCTTCGGAATCCTACTCAATAATCTAACACGTTCATTAAGAGACTGGAACGTCTTATCATTAAACCTTACAAGTAATATGTATATCTTGGAAATCTGATCAACCCTAATGAGTTGATGTTTGAAAAAAATCTGTGTACCAAATCATCTATGGCGAAGGCGAAATATCTATGTATCAATTAAATGGGCGAGTATACTGTGCAGTAGTTCGTTCTGTTCTACTTTACAGCTGCAAAATATGGTCATTAGGAATATAAGACACTTGTAAGTTATTAGTATTTAATCACAGCTATCTCTCGTATTTGTTAGTATCCACGAGTAAGCAATAGTGAAGTCAGACGCAATATATTAGGGAATGATAGTAAATCAGTTGATAAGATTGTATGTGTATACCTGAATATTGATTACGACTGTGCTCAATACTGACTAGTGTTAGAGATAGTTGTAAGAAAGTTAGGTGCAGTCATAGCAAAACATTGCATCAGTACTTAAACTTACTAACTTGTAGTCTTAGCCATGTTGGTTGATGTAAACTACTTGGTTGTGTTCCATGTGACTATCGTAACCAATAGTTAATGACTCTGTGTGACATAGCTAAGAATCGATCACAATAGCCTAGGTGAATACACTCTCTGCCTTCACTTAAACCTTGAGATTACTTAATTTCTACGAACTAATTCTTTCTTCTTGTATCATATCGTTATATTACTAACAGTGAAATAAGTACTTCTATGAATTCGGTGTTCTTCTTGTTGTGTTAATTAGGTGTGGCAACTTGTACCAATGCATATACATATATATATGTGTGCCTGATCTTACATTGTAACTGACTGATACATACATATACACATGAATTATTGATCAGAATGAAAAGAACTTTTCAAGTGTTTCAAATATTCATTAATCTTACTCGGTAACTAAAAAAAACCCAAAAAAAACAAAAACCAAAAAAACCAAAAACCAAAAAAAAAATAAGAAAAAAAACAACCAAAAATCAAACAAAACAAACTCTATTTATTTATATGTTATTATATCCTTCAATATACACATACATACATACATACATACATACATACATAGAGAGAGAGAGAGAAAGAGATAAAGCCTTTTCCTGTTTTAACCAATTAGATTAATCTTCATTCGAAATATTAATAGATTAACATGTTATTCCATTTTATAAATGTCTATTTCAATTAATTAATTATCTATAATTAATGAATCAGATCAATCATTGCATAGTAACATAATTTAATTCCAATCAATTTTATTGTTGTTGTTGTTGTCATCGTCGTCGTTGTTTTTTGTTGTTGTCATCGTCGTTGTTGTGATTGTTTGTCGTCATCGTCGTCGCCGTTGTCGTTGTTTTTTGTTGTTGTCATCGTTGTTTATTGTCGTCGTTGTCATCGTTGTCGTTGTCGTCGTCGCCGTCGACGTTGTCGTTGTTTGTTTACTTATTATTATTTTCCAAAAAAATATGTTTTCCAATTGTTTTGAACAAAATAAAAATTCTCAATTTATTCATATTTTTAATGAATATCAATTGAATAATAAAATTTTATTTACATCATTAATTATCATTATGTTAATAACATGGAGTATATTCTATGTCATTATTCCTCATACTAATAGTACTACTACTATTACTACTACTACTACTATTACTACTAATGGAATAGATCCATTCATTACAAATAATTCATTGGTAAGTTCATTTCATTATTTGATATAGAATTATTTGTAAAGATTTGATGTTTCAATTGATGATATAGATACTTCATCTTAAATGTCTTGGTATAGCCAAGGGTTGGAGAGAGTTAGCACTCCCTCTCTCTCTCTCAGAAAACTTTCATATGATCACATGTATACAGTCATTGATAGCGAAATCCTACTCAATACTTTCTCGCATCATAGGTGTTGTTTACGAAATTGAGAGGATGAAAAACCAATCTCCTGTACTTTAACCAGGTTGATGAATATGAAAGATTCACCTAGGAGAGTTAGGAAACTTTGATTCCATAACATTGGTGCACATGGGCTTCAGGAACTAATTATTAATCACGGACAACCATGAGATTGCATCACATGACGTTACCCGACTACTTTGAGGATTAGATTATTAATTCAAAGATTTGGAGTATGGCCCCTTAAGAAAATCACCTTTTTTGATCTAGGCACCCGGGTAGTATCACACCACACACACACACACAAATCAAGTGACTTGTGTGACACATATGTATTCGTCGCCCATTTGTACCAATATTTACGTGTTCAAATAATCAATAATAATAATAATAATAGATTGTCTAAAGGAAACCTAAGTACCGTTTCCAGTTGAGACATCGAGGATGCCCATTTGGCTCTGTTCTGTTCTCGATGATAGTTTTATTTCATATATTTTCAGTTTCTAAGTAAATTATTGATTTTTAACAACTTATTTAATGATTAAGATATTATCAGAAAGTAGTTTTTGTGGATATGAATCAATTATAGCTAGACTACTATGAGATACCTGAAAGCATTGGACTACTGGTTCGTCCTAGATCAGAATTTCTCAGCAGTAAACATCAACGATCACGTTCACGGGATCCGAACCCATGACATCTAAACCACTATATTGGCATTCAACGGTGTTAATGTTTCACTTCAATCAAGGCACGAAATTGAGCAACCGTCCATCATTACGATATTTGATATTGTATGTGTTTATTAGATTGTAAATTTCACACTTTGTTAACATATTGTTATTTATAACTATTAAGTAGCTTCATGAATAACTTGTCATTGATTGAATAGATAAATATTAAGTTCAGCATTCCTTGTGAATATCATGAATAGGTTACATCCATCTAATTAGTTCTACATAGAGTTAAAAATACTTGCTACAATTGACAGTTTGATAGTAAATTCGTTTTTATTGAAACATTAGATATTACAATTACAACTAGAATGTTTACAAATTGGACTTTGAATCGTCATCCTCTCATGATAAATTCTGTTAAATACTTTCTGGAATTCTAATGAAAAATCATGAACAGTGGAGTTCAACTGCCTTTGTTGTATAAGTAATTATTCATTGAAGACAGTGGTAGACAGTCGCTCAATATCGTGGATTGGTTAAATTTAAGTATTAACATCATTAGATTTCACCTCAATGGTTCAGAGGTTTAAGGGTTTGTCCATGAGACTGAAGATGCATGGTTCAAGTCTCGTGTGTAGGATCATGAATGTAATGTTGAGAAATCCCATGCTAGGATGAAATGGACATTCAGTGCCGCAAGCTTCTTCAAAGTGTTCTAGATTAAATCAATCGTCCATGACAATACATTTGTTTAGGGATTCTTCATTCAAAGCGTTTGTAATTAATTTATACACAAATGAAATGCAAACTGCTTATGATATGAAAGTATAACGATGGTACTCTACTGATTACCCTTGTATATGCCTATCACTTAAACTAATACACAACTGTATGACTTCAGTAAATGTATCACTTCATATTGGAGCTTTGCTAAGAAAGGTTCAAAACAAGGTGAGTAGGAATTCTGTTTTTCAATGAAAAGATATGCTTCTCTCATATGGTATTAATCTAAAATGTAAAGCTGTATGTACAGTTTGTTTTACATATAACTGTTTATAGTATAATAAAGGAGTATTGCGTTATGGAACAGAGTTATCATAACTAAATGAACTTTTCTATCGAGTTGCGTTTTCTACTTTCGACAGCCTCATTGAGAAGATTCCAGTGTTGTTTTAGACAACAACTCCAGTGCCTACTTCACCCAGAAATAAGTCTTCCAGTTATTTCATTAGTGTGATATCAACTCGTTATTTGCTAGACGATTGAATATAATAACCAAAGTTTTTCGATAGTAAATCTTAGTTACCTAAAAGTCATAAAGATAATATGCATCCACTGTGAATTACCTCGATAAAGCTTTAAGTCACAAACTTTTTAAGCAAAGATGGATAACGGCTATGAGTGCAATCCAGGACATACGTTTCGTCCTATGTAGGACTCGTCAGCTTGATGTGACTGCAACAAGATACTGATCAATTTCAGCTCTAAGTAACAATGGGAAGATACAAGTAAAACAAGACTATTTAATGACTTATTCAGATTATCATTTCCGTGTGTGACCGAAAATTTGATTTGTTTCAATTTGAGGATTCAACGGGGGGTGGAGGTAGGGTTAAAACACCGTAGTTATTACCACAGAATGTTTCGACAAACTAATTAAATAGCTTCATCAGTGTAATTCTTTTTTTTGCTGTTTTAGGAAAACAAAGTTCATATTGTGATCTTATTTGATGGTGATCGTGGTCTACAATATTTGAATAGTCTACTTAAATCTATTTTCTATTATCAAAATGGAAGATTTCGATGTGATTTAAAAGCTTGTTGTCTATCAAACTTTTGTGATCGATTCATGAATGATTGTCATACTGTTATGAATAATGGATCAACAACATATACAACTGTATTTCATTTCTTAATAACGACGATTTCATCAAATCGTCAGTTGGTGAACTTGATGAATACATGGAAATTACATAATATGGAATATCATTTTTATAGTTGTAGTAATCATCTGGTAAGTCTTCACATACATTATAACTCACTGTGTTACATCACTGTACAAACATCAGTGTGGATTTGGTGAAAATACTTTCAATGTTTTATCACAATGATTCCAATAATATCAGTACAGAGTTTTATGCAGATAGCGCTATGTATAGTTTAAATCACAAATTTATATTAGTCGGACAACCATTGAAAAGCTAATGGAGCTCGACGGCCATCATGTCTTGGTACTGTATTTCAGGGCATCAATCCAGGTGTTTTATGCAAGATCTCCGACCTCGTACATGGTTGCCTAACCATTAGACCACTGAGCTGGCCACCAGCAGAGTTAACATCATACTTCAGTTATTTCATAAGGTTGCGCAAATCTAATTGGTTGACTGGCGTAGGTAACTGCCTAATACCCGACTCTGTTATACTCCACTGATCATGGATTCTCATTAGAATTCCAGATGTTTCCTACTGAAGCTTTTCACTAACAATTACATGATAATTGTCACTGTGAGGTTGTAGTGAATATTGTGTCCCTAGATGGACGACTACGGAGTCCAGTCATGTCTAGTGTGAAAAATACACCTATCAAAGACAATAGATGATGATGTCACAATATCTTTGTCTGACTAAAGTTAACTTGTACACGTTTGAAGTTTCATCTAGTGGTCAAGCGTTTGTTCGTGAGATTCAATGTCTTGGATTGGATTTCAGGTAATCTGTCGTGAATGTACACTACTAAAGTCTCATACCTGAATGAAACAACCGTTTAGTGCTTCCAAGTTTTCAATGATCGTCTAACTTAGATCGACTCGTATACTATGTTTACTAACTTGAGTCTATGTGATTGTTTGTAGGAAGATATTTGGTGGATTCAATCTAGGCATCCTTCAGGCGTTAAACCATTTTTAAAATTGATGATTACAGAAATTCTTCCATCTACAATCAATAAAGTAAGTCATAGTTCTTCTTCTTTTCACAATAAGTTTCATTGTATTTTGGCATCAAATGTTTCTGTATAAATTGACTACAATATTTAAGTATTTGATTCTCAAAGTCGTATGAAGGAAACAAATTAATGTCAGTGTTCAGTAAGTGATTCTTATTGTACTACCATCTTAGTAATCATATAGTCAATTTGAAAGATTACATTCCCTGAGGAAGTACAGAACGTGAACATAGATGATAATGTAAATAAGAAATAGCATAATACTAAATGATATCATGGAAATAATAACTGTACAAAATAGTGGAAGTGATCTTCAAAAGAATACTTTTCAATACTGAATGATGAGTCTAACTAGAAAGAATTGAAAAGTAGTAGGTCAATATCATGTTCTTTAGTGTTCACTATTCCCAAACTGATATCAATCCATGCAACAGAGTTACTGAAAGGTTATTCAACCTTCCAATGAAGTTGTGTTCTTCAAGTGAATGTGAATAAACGAGGCTAACTAACAAGAACCAAAAAGTAGTACGTTTATGTTATGTTCCCTAATTTTCAATGTTCTCTAACTGAGATCAATCCATGATGTGAATCATTCATCTAAATCAGAAAGTAATAAGGATTGACTAATACCAACTCTAATACAAATACAAGTAAAGACTATCGTGTTTATATACACTTTGGTTAATCTTATGAAATATCAAAGATATTGATTGTTGAAAGTGCTATAAAAGGAAAACGTCTGGCAGTTTTCGAAATTACATTCGATAACGAAGGCATCTCAAGATCAAAGTTCATGTAGATCAAACGTGGATAAATGAACTTTGGAATAATAACAGTAATAGTAGGAAGTGTCTAAATAATTCAATATTGAACAGTATGAATGGAAAGAAAAAAAAATATACCAGTAGATAGGGGATATGAAAAAAGTATGAATCACATGTGATATTGTCGTATCTAGGGGTGTCAGGAATTTTATCTGGATATATATCTATACTAAGATTATAGATTCGGATCCCTATATGTTCTGTTATATGTAGGTGAAGGGATCGAAATTCATTGTAAAGTAAAGGAAGTATACGGTTAAATACTAGCGTATGCACTTTAACGACCAGGTACACCAAGATAAAGCTATGTATTGTCTTTGTCTGACTCTTTTACAAATCAAACTAAGAGATGTTCACTCATTTGTTCATGAAGTTACCTAGTAGAACAGACGACACAGTTATCTCCACAGGAACAAATGAACCTCTGAATCATCATGTACTCACCATCGTTACATCAAGCTGAAATCCGTTTCACAACTCAAATATGATCAAAAAGAGAATAAGTAAAACAGATTAGCATTACTCCCACCACCACCACGACCACCACCACGACCACCACCACAAACATACACACCATATATACATCGATTACAATCATTAGTTGCACTCATTTGAATATTGATTTGTGGATTTCCTTATAAAAAAAAACAACCACAACAACAACCATATCACATATCACAGGAAAATACACCGAATAACTGAGAGAGACAAAAAGCAAACAAACAAACAAACAAAACAACTTCATATCACATGTTATCACATTAAAATCAATAGCAAAATTGAGTCAATTAATGCAGTAAATTAAGATGGAATGAATATACTGAGAATAGATGAAGATTGTAATGATGATCAATAATAAGTGAAGATGGATGATGACTAGCAATGGAATCTAGGAGACGCGGTTTTGGACTTGTCCACTGAATGGATCTGTATCTATAATGAATAAAACAATTACATTGAGTTAATAATCGTGTCTCATCATTTGATTACATTCTAACACACTCCAGTTTATAGCAGGTTATGTCATGAGTCAGATTAGGAATTAGTTGTTTTACTGTGTATTAAATCTCTTCTGAGGTTTAATCGATGGAGTCGATCAAGTTTATAGAGATATGATAAACGCTACTCTCTGAATCGACTATACTCATGATATCGTCATTTTGAAACTTCCAGTTTTCCATGGGTTTGGACAATACATCGAATGAGTTTGGAGATTTATACTTGTCATCGAAATTATGAGACAGTAAGAATACAGCTAATGTTCATAGAACGTTTGTCATGCAAACTATAATTCTTTCTCTACTGAACTCATGAACTGATCAATGTTAGACCGCCACTGAAAGCTTGAGAGTACTTGACAGTTGCTTCATCTTGGTATTTGACTGCAACAGTTGGAATTGATTACGCTTTATGAGCGACTTGAATACAGGAATTTAGGTGTTACACAAACCTTTGATCTACAGACGACTGAGCCGAGACTCAACGTTGCTGAAGTCCCATACTAGAATGAAGCAGTCGTCCAGTGCCTCAGGTTCTCGTTGATGGGTTTAAGGCTTTAATGAGCATCAACTATCTCTACAACCAAACACTGATAATCCTTTCTCTGAATTTGATCTTTGACAATCTGTTTTAAAGATTCATTTTCTTTAACTTAAAGTCATGAATCTGTAAAACGCGTTTTAACAAAATATCTTCTATCATTTGATTTCATGAAAATACTGTTAATTACAACCAATTGATATGGATATTCTTTGAATTGAGTCATCAAATAAATCTAGAAGTGAGCCTTCGGTTATATCGATCCACTAAAAGTTGTACACACTACTACTTAGGTTGCCCAAAGTAAATGTTCCATATCATTCAGATAAACCATGTCCTCAAAACTCTTTTACTACTTATGTACTAACAATGATGTGGCATATGGAATTGTTCTTCTGGGTTTGAAGCAATGTGGAAGATATCAAGGTGTTTTTGTTTAAACTGTACAACTTTCAGGGAATTCATGAAACACTGAACAATACTTTACTTTAATATGACTAATAAGAGAATAGGAGTAGATCTAAACTTTTATCACATATCACCGGAAAACAAAGTAATACCTGAAAAAAAAAGTATAAATCTGAAGGGTAATTTTATTTTTCTAGCTAAATGAACATTCGAAATATTAAAAACAGTATAAGCATTCTTATTAGATGATAACTATAATTTCTATTCAACTCTGCCTGGGGTCCCTTTCGGGGGGCTACTGCCGGTCCGAAGCCCGAATAAAAGAGGGGGGTTGGGCATGGGGTTAGCGACCCCATCCTGTAGAAAACTAACTCGCTAAAAAAACGCTCACTAGAAAAAAAAAATCATTCAAACCATAATTTCTATTGGCTATAATGTAAAGCATCATAACACCTAGAAAAACTCACCTTTGTAACCTGTTTGTTTATGTTTATTACATTTTGGCAAAATGTTAACTAATACAGAACTAATAAACTACTGTGACTGTGTTTTTTAATAAAGGGAATTTTGTTCTCTGAGCTTATACTTTGTGCCTTCTCTCTTGTGTTCAAGTCACTGTATAGTTCTAGCTTGAGAGTTTTCAGAATAGTTAAGGAATCGAGTATAACGTTCAAAATCGCAAGACTTATCAACAATCCTATTCAATTTTTGTCGTTCATATTGGTAAAGATACTAATGAACTTGTATTCTTTATTCCTTTCATCAATTTTGTACTGTGTTTGAAATTCAATACTTTGACAATCGGTTATGATATGGTGTAAGGTCAGGCTTATATCATAGTTCATACTTGTAAGATATGAGTACAGAATTCGGAATCATATAGTGACAGTATTAATCATAAAACATTGACTTCATCATGGGTTTTTGATCTCAGATTAGAGTATTGGATTGTACGATTCACATTACCATCATTAGATTCTTTGAAAGTCTTTAAGAAACTGTATAGAAAGTTGAATGACGACGACGGATCACCAATAATCTTTAAATGGATAGTATCTAATTATCATAACTAATATCTGTAGATATTCTAGGCTTTCAATTTCCTCATACCATTGTCGAAATCAAGTGATTCAATGTTAAATAGATCATCATTTCTATTATAGCTGGCATCCAAAGTACTTTCAATTCAATAGTAAGAACAAAATCATCATCTTGGTCCAAAACTCTTTCAACTTTATATGAAGATAGTTTGGTTAACTTCAAACTTAGCTACAGTTTGATAATTCTTAACTTAAGGTTGGAAATTGACAGATCAATGGTAGTTTAGCTAAACTTAGCCTCACATCGTTATTCGTGTCCATTGGAACGTATTTATTCTATTTTATTTTAACACATAGATATTAGTACAAGGAGGCACAAAATACATATGCGCCACAGAAATCTCATTTGATATGTATGAGCGCTGTGATACTGCCTGGGTGCCAAACCGAAGCAGGTGGTTTCCTTAGGGGGGGACACCCCGAGCCTTTGACATGAAAGTCCGATCCACAAGGCAGTGGAGCATCGTAAGGAGATGCAGTCCCATGGTAGCCGGTGATCAACAATTGGTTCATACGTCATTTGTTCCTTCAGGTTACTAGAGCCAGCCCATGTGCACCATTGGTTTGGGATCCGGTCAAAGCGCCCTAAACAACACTCCCGCCACGAGAACGCAGTGAGTAGGACTTCACTGTCAGAGGCTATATACGCGTGTCTATGTGAGAGTATTTCGAGAGGGAGAGCGGACTCTCCCTATTCTCGACCGTACCAAGGCATTTGGGGTCTTGGAACGTATGATTGGTTACGATTAATGAAATTCAGCTATAAATGGAATAGCATACACAGAATGGAGAAATTATTATCAAAACTTTGAAGCTGCATCGATTCACGACACAGTTGTAACATAACACCTTTAAATCGTCAACTTTACTTAGTGTTATAACTACCCTCAAATATAGAAGGTTTAAAAGTGGAAGTTTTCATGGTAGTCGATATCCATGATCAAACGTTTAATCAAGTACCACTTGAAGTTCTTAACCTTCAATCAATATTCAACATGGTTACATCAGGATTCATTCATTTCAACTGCATATAATGAAATTATAACTCGAAGATGAGTACACAAACCAGTACTTATTATTGACTATATTAAAACAATGATATTGTTACGGGAGTATATGATTAATCGGTAATTTGTTACCATACTCTTTTACCTTTCCATTTCTAGGTAATTGTACTAGACATTGATATACTACTGAATACAGATATTATTGAATTATGGAATCATTTTAACTTATTTAAAGAAACTCAGGTTTGTTTTCTAATCATTATTCATGTTATTATTATTGATTAAAGATTGATATTCAACGCTAAATCAAACATAAAACAATTTGTAATGGACTACTTACCAATATCATTGATATCAAAGTACAATTGTTGTTGCTATGGTGGTGGTGGTTGTTGTGGTTATTGTTGAAATGCTTAACAACAATTGAAGTTGGTTAGAAATTTGATCTGTATCGAATCTACATTTGATCTTAACTTACTTGATAAATACAAAAATAAAAAAGATATATGACTGAGTTTATAATCAGAGAAGGGTTTTTGTGGATATTATAGGAATTTCAATGGTTAAGATCATGAATGAAATGAAACTAGACCACTATGAAAAACCTGGAAGTAATGGACGGCTGTCTCATCCTATTTTGGGATTTCTCAGCAGTGAGCATTCACGATCCCGCCCCACTCCGCGGAATTCAAACCTAGGACGTAATGGTCCCGCGCGCGAGCACTTAACCACCGGACTACTCAGCCGGAATCCAACGGTTTTTTTTGTCTAGCTTCAACCAATTCACGAAATTGAGTCACACATCTACTATTGTCATCAGTGAGTTACTATCTCACAAATGATCCGGTTGAACTCCACTGGTCACTGCTTCTCACTAGAACTCCAAGATATACATTTTGAAGCCAGTCACTAGTGACTATATGTTGATTATTATCAGAAGGAGGTTTTGTAATGATTTTAGTGATTTCAATGGTTGAGATCATGAGTGAATTGAAACTAGACCACCATGGAAAACCAGGAAGTACTGGACGGCCGTTTCGTCCTATTATGGGACTCCTCAGCATTGCACATTCACGACCTCGTCTGTTGTGAGATAGTGACTCACTGAAGACAATGATGGATGTGTCGCTCAATTTCGTGAATTGATTGAAGTTAAACATTAACACCGTTGGATGCCGGCTCAGTGGTCTAGTGGTTAAGTGCTCGTGAGCGAAACCAGTAGGTCGTGGATTCGAATCACGCGGGGGGGTTGAGGTCGTGGATGCGCACTGCTGAGGAGTCCCACAATGAGACGAAATGGCCGTTCAGTGCTTCTAGGTTTTCCATGGTGGTCTAGCTTCAATTCACTCATGATTTCAACCACTGAAATTTGATTGAATGTTGAGTATATGGTTCCCATTGGACTATAAAGTCACGACAAACCAAATACTATTGTTATTATCATGATCTCAATACGAATGGAATGATTTCATTATTAGTTATTCATGGATCCGACAGTATGGATTTTAAATACTGAGATTGTCATCAATGAAACATTAAATGAGATAGTTACTCGTGATATCATTTTAAAAAAATCAAACTCACATAGGCAGCTAATTGTATCATGAATGGGTTTTACGTTGTGAATTCTTAAGTGAAGAGAAGTCAGAGAAGTTTACGAAAGCTTTATTTACAAAAGCAAACTAAACAAGCGAGATATTTTTCGGTTTCTTGTATATTCAGAGAAGAATGTATCTTCCAGCAGATATATACTTGTAACGACATACGTGACAATAGTTGTCAGAAGGGATTTTGTCGAGATTTTAGAAATTCCGATGGTTGAAATTGAAGCTAGACCACCATGGAAAACCTAGGAGCACTGGACGGCCGTCTCATCCTAGTATGGGACTCCTCAGCAGTGCACATCCACGACCCTGCCCCCCGCGGGATTCTAACCTAGGACCTATTAGTCTCGCGCGCGAGTATCTAACCACCAAACCACTGAGCTGGCATCCAACGATGTTAATGTCTAACTTTAATCAATCTACGAAACTGAACCACCGTACACCATTGTCTTCAGTCAGCTGATATCTCACAACAGATCTGGTTGAACTCCACTGGTAACGGATTCTCACTAGAAATTAATGCGATAGACAGTATCAAAATGAGAACAGCTCAGTGATCTAGGAGTTGTTATTCTTATTATTAGCTCTATTCAATATTATATTTGTGGTACAATATAGAATTCTCAGCACAAATTATTTCAACAAGCTTCTATTTCTTACTTTTTGGTTGATCCAGACGATAAATAATGAGTGTTCGCCAGTTAGAAGTTAGCAGTTCAATCAATCAACATCTAATTAATGTACATCTTTTTCGTTGTATATTATCAGAAATCGCGATATGATTGATCGGGTCTTTCGAAACTTGTACAATGAAGGGTTGTACACTTTTCAGAAACTCACCTGACAATGTTATGTTATTGATAGCCATACTGATGTACCAAAAAAAACCAGAATAAGATGACTTGTTGAAATATCTTGATAGTAGCAACAGGTAATCCGAAGGTTCAAGCAGCCCATCAGTTTATCATGATCAATGATAAGAAAGATTTCTGAAGGAGTAGTTCTAGTCATAGACTGATATCGTTGTACTATAAACAAGGAGTTCATGTTCTCACAGAATTATTGTAGAATTTAAATTTAATCAACCATGGTTATATTAGTTTATATACGACTAGATATCATCATCATCATTTAAACACATAAAGATTTATACAAGAAGGATTGAAATACTGTCTGGATTCTCAAACCGGAGCAAGTGATTTTCTAAGGGGACCACACTTGGAACCTTCTATCTATAGATCTAATCCACAAGTCAGTAAAGTAACGTCAAGTAATGTAGTCCCATGGTAACCGGTGATTAACAATTGATTCATATGTTATATCTTTTTTCCCTTAGGATACTTAAACCCTATGTACACCTTATTTAATTTTGACATTTAGTCTATAGTAAGTATTCCTCATCATAATCCTTGTTAGTGTTCTACATTCTTCATTAATTTCACAGTTGATTTCAACTTGGAACTAGACTTTCAACTTTAACTAAACAATGTTTTGTGTATATCAAATTCACAATGTTATTGAAGAATATTTATACTACTGATGGCTTATAAATCTTCATATGTTTTTTCAAAGAGCATAGGTATTGGATTAGAACAAAATCCATATTTTCAAGAAGTTATGACTAGGTTAGAAAGTAATTGGAAAGTAAGTTGAAACATTATGATACATCACATTACAATTGCAATGAGTTACACTTTTGTATACCATTGTCTTTTTCAAGAACAATTGTAGTGAGACTATAGCTTTTGGACGAAGTTTGAGTGATGCTGAATAGATCTAGAGATAGCTTACCTACATGTTTAATCTAGTTAGTATTCGTTTAGCAAGATTTATTCTATAGGGTAGAGTTGTCGAACTCTTGCTCAATCCTCCTCTTTTACTCGGGTTTAAAACCGGTAGTAACTCTAGAAAAGCTACAGGCGAAGTTAGTTCACCTACTTACAAGTATCAAAATAAGGTTATAAATTAGTGTGAGGAGTTACGATTAGGATTTTGAGTTAGAATTCAGGGTTAGAAATGAAAGTGAGGATTTTCATCACAAACTGGCATCAGTTATCATGCCAAAATGGTCTTTAACTCTATGGATGAATTACTTTCACACGAAAGTTCAAGACATGCTATCTTCAATTTCATTGCTTTGGAGATAAATTATGTTCTTGCATCGACTGCTTTTCATCAGGCAGTAGTTATTTAAAACCAATTACTTCTCCCTTATTTATATCAAACTGGAGTCATGGATGTGGGTGATTTGTTTCCGTTCTTGTTAATATTCTATATGTGTTGTAATGGCATTTGTATTGTGCCCATCAAATTGAAATGTACTTACTAACCTAATAAAGTTTAATTGACAAAAAATCTTTAAAACAAGTTTTGTGTACTTGCGAACTAGAAGGTATATGCAGGATCTTGAGGAATTATGATTATCTCCATGCGATTCGCATTCACCTCTTAGTTTATATTATGAATACAGTGGTTTTGAGTGCTGTTAGAGGTATGGGGGCGGTTATCGATTCCCGGTTGCCCACACCGTAGAAGGGTTCTTCTGGATGTACCTGAAAAGGAAATTGGATTGGGGGTGGTCACAGTGACCTGAGAGCGTGATCGCAGTGACCAAGGGACAGCTGCTTGAGGTCGGTCACACACGACCTTTTTATTGGTAGTTTTCATGTTAATTCCGTACTTGTTGAGACCTTACCGCCGAAGATGGATATCCGTGGGATAAGGCGAGGTGGGCATTTTTAGGGTCGACCTTTTCTAACCCCTCCCCTCCTTTTGGGAAGGCAGCATCGCTTTTATGCTGGTTGTCTGAAGGAAACACCTTACTGCTGTCACACCTCTGTACAGTCAGCAGCACGACTTCGCCTTCGGACCTTGGATTTGTTGCTTTTAGACTTACCGCTCTTCAACCGACCTGTGTGGCATGGTAGGACCTTGAGTAACGGTTGTTCCAACCGGTATAGCTCAGTTGCTTCATCACGATAGGCAAGTCCGACCACCACGTCAAGATAGCAACAACGGTCGGGAAGATATTCGTAAGTTACTAGCATTTGACCACAGATGCCTTAGAAATATTGCTCGCATCTGCTGGGATCACCCAGTAAGTAATAGTGAGGTTAGACGCAGTGTATTAGGGAATGATGGTGAATTAGTTGATGAGGTTATGAATGTTCATCGACTGAGATGGTTGGGCCACGTGCTGCGTATGCCTGAACACCGATTACCACGGCGCGCAATGCTAACCGGTGTTAGGGATGATTGGGAGAAAGTTAGGGGCGGCCAAATCAAAACCTGGCATCAGTGCTTGAACTCACTAACTTCTGGTCTTAGCCATGTTGGAAAATTCAGACTGCCTGGTTGGGGTCCGCGTGACTATCGTAACCAATGGTTGGAGACTCTTGGTGACATGGCTCAAAATCGATCTCGATGGCGTCGGAGTATACACTCTCTGTCTTCCTTTAAATTAAGAGATTAAAACCACTCCAAATCTTTTTTTCTAGGAACTAAATCTTTCTTCCTGTACTATCTGCTTATATGCAATCTTTCATCTATATATTACCACCACTGGATTACCTACTTCTATGAATCCGATGTTCATTTTGTTGTGCTAATGCGGTATGGCAACTTAGACCGATGTATATATGTGCCTGGTTCTACGTTGCAGCTGACTGACTGACTTAGTTTAGATCATTAAGGGATTGTGATAATACATAATCAAATGTTGCAAGTAGCTCTTATTCTGACTGCCATAACGCTAATGCCAGAGTTGAATACTGAAAATATCAACTTCTATACAATCAACTATTATTTCATCTGTGCATAGTATGGTGGATCATATGTATAATGTTTATTTTAGGGTTACGGATATAATAATGGTGTTCTGTTACTTGATCTGTCTAAATTACGATCAACCAATTGGAATCATCTATGGTTGAGTATAACTAGAAGAGCTATTGAAAGACAAGGTTACTTAATCACTGGTGAACAGGTAAGTTCAAACTTTTTACATATTCATTATAACTACTTTTAATGATTGTTGAATATCTATATGAAGATACTAATTTACAACGACACTCAGCTGGATATCCCAGTCGAATGGTTGCGTCTTCCTATCATGACGGGAAGTGATTTGTTGATTATATATGTATTATCTTTACCCTCATCACACAATCAGAAATCGTTTCGACTCCCCTCACATCATGATGAAGAACACAGTTTATGGAATTACATCAGGATTGATGGGCCTTGAAGAATTACGCTCTTAAAACAACAACTGGGTTTTTAGCCACGTCTCTGATACACAGAAATTTTGACTTAGCAGAGGGAAAATCTGAACCTCCACACTTAGTAGCTAACCATTTAAATGGATCTACATGACACAATGGTTAAAGATCTATATATTCGACAGTAGACAAAAGAACAAATACTGTAACGTGGCTTATAAGTTATCGCTTGCATCAATGGATGTGGACAAGTGTGGACACAGATTCAAGTGGACAAAATGTCGAAATCTTGATAGGAGAGAATAATGAGAACGTCAGAGAATTTGTAGGAGCTCAGCAATCAACAAACACATTAATATCGATGCAGTTTATTAACCGACGAGAAAAATCATGGAGAAGTATATGATCAAGAATCAGACCAAAAGAAAGAGACTATCCACGACTTAATCATCCAGTTCAGAGAACGAAACTCCACAAAAATCATCCATCAGAGCTTCAAGCATTCACCACCATCTCTGAATATCATGTGTATAGAAAACTAGTTAACTGTAATTTATTGATAGAAATAGACATGATAATAGTTAGTTATAAAAGTCAGGGTTTATATTTAAGAAAGCATAAAAGTACCATTAATCTATTGTTTAATGAACATCATCAAGATTTCATGATATTATGAAAACGATAGAGTAAAATGTATTCATTACATTGTCCCTCAAATACCGTGGTACGACCAAGAGGGTAGAGAGTTAGCTCTCCTTCTCGAAATGCTCTCATATGATCACGCGTATAAAGCCACTAACAGGTTGATCCCACTCAATACCTTCTCTCACCATGGGTCTTGTTTACATGGTGCTCTAACCAAGTCAGTGGTTATAAAGGATTCATCTAGAGGAGTTAGAAAACCCTGATTCTATACCAGTGGTGCAACTAGTCTCCAGGATTTTGAGTGAACGAACCAATTGCTTGTCAATGGCTACCATGAGATTGCATCTCTTGACGTCACTCCACTACCTTATGGATCAGACATATACGTCGAAGACTCTAGGTATGGTCTCGTAAGAAAATCACCTGCTTCAGTCTAGGCACCTGATCAATATCACAGCCGATATACACATCAAGTGACTTGTGTGTGGTTCAGTTCGTTTAACATTGACAACAAATAAGATTAGAATGATAAGGAAATAGAGAATTCTGTCCAGTCCCCCTCTCAGACCATGATCTATAGAATGTACCACTGTACTAACACTAACTTATTTCAACTATCGTTACTTATTTATTCGTTTGCTTATCCATTTTAGGACATTATAAATCTAGTACTATTTGAATTTCAATACATTTTATATGAGATTCCATGTGTATGGAATATCCAATTAAGTGAAGGAAGTGATATACAACGATGTCCTGTAAGTTGGTTAACTTATAATGAATTAAAGAAACGTAATTATACAACAATCGTTAAACAACCAAAACTTATTCATATTAATCATCATATAAAACCAGATGATTTAAAAGTGAATGATACACCAACTGAATACATTGATCAATCTGATATGATTCTTAAACGTAAGTTAATCTGTTTAATAAATATTATCCTACTGACAATATACAATTCTCATGGTGACTTTATATTAGAATGGATTACTTACTTACGCCTGTTACTCCTCGTGAAGGAGCATAGGCCGCTCACCAGCATTCTCCATCCAACCCTGTCCTGGGCAATTCTTTCAAGCTCTTTCCAGTTCTTATTCATCTTTTTCATATCTGATTCTATTTCCCGACGTAATGTGTTCTTTGGCCTTCCTCTTTTCCGCTTCCCTTCAGGATTCCAAGTTAGCGCTTGTCTCGTAATGCAGTTTGATGATTTCCTCAATGTATGTCCTATCCATTTCCATCGTCTTTTCCTAATTTCCCCTTCAGCTGGAAGCTGGTTGGTTCTCTCCCACAAAAGGCTGTTGCTGATGGTATCCGGCCAATGGATGTTGAGTATCATGCGTAGACAGCTATTGATAAATACCTGTACCTTCTTGATGGTGGTTGTTGTAGTTCTCCAAGTTTCAGCTCCGTACAGTAGAACTGACTGTCTTGACGTTCGTATTGAAGATTCTGACTTTGATATTGGTTGAAAGTTGTTTTGAGTTCCATATGTTCTTCAGTTGAAGGAATGCCGCTCTAGCTTTGCCAATCCTCGCCTTGACGTCTGCATCTGAACCTCCTTGTTTATCGACGATGCTTCCCAGGTATGTGAAGGATTCCACGTCTTCCAGAGTTTCGCCATCAAGAGTGATTGGATTTCTGTTCTCCGTGTTGTGTTTGAGGACCTTGGTTTTCCCTTTGTGTATGTTGAGGCCTACTGATGCAGAGACTGCTGCTATGCTGGCTGTCTTTATCTGCATTTGTTCGTGTGTATGTGATAGGAGGGCTAGGTCATCTGCGAAGTCCAAGTCGTCTAATTGGTTCTGAGCTGTCCATCGTATGCCGTAGTTTCCTTCAGATGTCGAGGTCTTCATAATCCAGTCGACCACCAGAAGAAACAGGAAGGGAGAGAGTAGACAGCCTTGTCTTACTCCGGTCCTTACTTGGAATGCGTCTGTCAGCTGTCCTCCATGCACTACTTTGCACTGTAGTCCGTCGTATGAGTTCCGGATAATGTTGACAATCTTCTCAGGAACTTCGTAGTGTCGAAGAAGTTTCCATAACGTCCTCCTATCTACACTGTCAAATGCCTTCTCATAATCAATGAAGTTGATGTAGAGTGACGAGTTCCACTCAATTGATTGTTCGACGATGATCCGTAGTGTCGCAATCTGGTCTGTGCACGACCGGTCCTTACGGAATCCAGCTTGTTGATCTCGAAGTTGAGCGTCAGCTGCGTCTTTCATCCTGTTTATTAGAATGGATAGATAACATATTATACCAGTTAAATGAGACATACTATAAAATAAGACACCTGAACTATAATGTTTCAAACTCCTAACGTATGTTCAGCTAACAGTAATGTTTACGACATATATATGTGTATCCTGTAAGGATTATCTCGATATTGTCTTAATTTATATGCATTCTAAGCAAAGATGAATAGTAGCTAACATTGAAATCTATAAAGCGAGTTTCGTCATATTTACGACTCATCAGTAAGATAGACTTGCATTCTAGATTTGATGTTCAAACCCACTGTTTTTCACTTCAGATGTAATTGCGTTTTCTACTTATCTACTGAATTGAGCTAGCAATTAACACATGATAGGACTAATATCAGCTTCCTCCTTAGAAGTATCAAATAAGATTCATTGTTAGATACTCATGTTTCACTCGTCTAAATGAACTATGTGTATCCTATGAAGTAGTAGATCCCATTCTTATAATGTATTAGCTTCATTTATCATGTTTATCATTATCTATAATCATGCTTATTCTCTATTGAATTATCATTTCATTTGTAGAATATGAATTATATGATAAATTTGTGTCCGTATATCGTCAATATACTCGATTACATCAATCATGTTTCCAATAGTTTCAATTCAAGAACCAATCAATTTCGATATTGATCTTTCAATCATGTAGTTCATGGGCTATTCCTTGTCTTCAATCAATAGAATCGATTATCTATTATTTTTGTATTGATATAAATACACTTCAAATAAATTTGATTGATAATAACAAGATGATATTCTAAGACTGTTTCTATGGAATTGTGTATATCTACGGAATTAAGGAACATTAATTGTTGAATGAGATAACCATGGATTATAGTCAAGATATAGTGAGATATGAAATACCACGTGGATAGATCATCATATACAACTTTAATATTACTTATATAATGATATTCTTATATTCATAATAAGTAGTATGAATGTCGATATATAAACTATTCGTCTTGCATATATTATAGTCATATGATTCTCACTTGTCAACCATACTTCACTTTTTTTATTATTCAACATAGTATATAATGCTTTGGTTACCTTGACAACATGTGATATGATAGAAGTGAAATATGTTAAGCTGCATTATTATAACAATAGTAGTCGAAAAATCAGATTGTGTCATAGTAAAAATGTTTCATCTCTACATGTTCAGAAGATTTTTGGAGGTCTGATCAATTTAATGCTGAAATCTATAAGATTTGAACTTTAAAGAACCTCTGTTCATATGTATATACCTTTACAATACTTCTTATTCATTAAACGTTTCAATTGATACCCTGAAAATATCATAAGCACACCTCCGCCTTTTTGAGGTAACCTGAATCCTTCGAAAAACAATCATTGACTAGTTACTTTGAAAATGCAGTTATTAATCACTTTGAGCAATCCCAATAACAATAAATAACTAAGTAAATGCACTTGGTATTGTTTGGCTTGTATCTTCCTATTGAGGTTTAAGACAGCAACTGATTAGTCTCGTATTGACATATGTGCATACTGTACGCACTGCCTAGATATTGTCTTAATTCACAAGCTTTTTGCAGTGTAAGCAATGATAGATAGTGTCTAGCATTGGAATCTATTTTGACGCGCGTTTCCTTCTATTTGCGACTCGTCAGCTGGATGTACCTGCATCTCAGAGTTGATGTTCACCCTGGAACTCGAACTACAGTATCATTCGCTTTAAACTCCATCGCAATATCCACTCAGCTACTGAATCCTGACAGCCACTTGTTTGTGTAATGGGGTGAATTTAAATTCATTTGGTATTGTTTGGCTTGTATCTTCCCATTAAGGTTTAAGACTGCAATTGATCAGTCTCTTATTGACATATGTGCATACTGTGCCTATGCCTCGATATTGTCTTAATTCACAACGAAAAGACAATACCTTATATTTACATAAGGCTCATTAAATTCAGAAGCATTATTAAAGTAGTGTTTACCGGAAAAACATGCAATATACAACATCATTATTACATACCACTGTATTGAAAAGTATGACGTAATGACATCATATATTATTTGACCACCTTGCAGATCCGTTTACCATTGTTGTATTTTCTACCGAGTTACTACAGATTGTAGCTTGCAACGTATATTGAACGATTCATTACATTTCATTCAATTTTGTATTAACAGTATTCCAGAAAACAAAATGTTAGAACGCTGAATATCATAACAATAGCGATAATCACATTCTAAGTGAGATCATGAACCGATTGATATTAGACCATCATTGAAAACCTTGAAGCACAAGATGGCAATTTTGTCCTATCGTTAGACTCCTCAGCAGTGCGAATACACGACCACGCCTGTGGGGTTCGAATCCTGAGCCGCTTGCGTACGCATCCGGTTGTGTTAATATATAACCTCAAACAATCTGAGAAATTGCACGACCATCTTCGATTGTACTGAGGTAGATACCTGACTCTAGCCGACACAGATTAGGTCCACTGGTCACGGCTTCTCACGAAAACTCTGAGAATTCCCTCACGAAGCTAGTCACTATTGAGTACATAGTAATCATTAGTATAGGATTGTGTAGATTGTTAAGTTTTTGATTGAGATCATGAACTGATTGATGTTGGAACTCCGTAAGCGGGATCATAGATGCGCAACGCTGAGGAGTTCCACAATAGGACGAAACAATCATTGGTTCATGATCTTAATCAAAAAGTTAACAATCCCCACAACCATATACTGATAATCACAATTTGGTTTTGTATAATTAGATTGAAAAAGTTGATCATATTGATAAGAAACTGTTTCCTTTAATTTCATGAATAGATTCGTAAGATAATAACATTTATGTATTTATAAACTATACAACATAATGCAACAGTTCACAACGACTTTTTCGATTATATACAAACATCAATTGTCGATAAATACAAATACACAATAGGTGTATACCTATACCGCCCTTACCATTTATTCATATTATAATAGATACAGGAGGAAAATGCTAAATTTTACACGATAACAAGAAGGTATGCAAAATGTGTTTTCAATTCGTGGTTGTGTGTATGCGATAGGAGGGTTCTGAGCTGTCCATTGTATGCCGTGTTCTCTCTCAGATTTCGAAGTTTTCATAATTCAGTCGACCATCAGAAGAAAGAGGAAGGGAGAGAGTAGACACCCTTGTCTTACTCCGGTCCTTATTTGGAATGCATCGTTCATCTGTCCTTCATGCACTACTTTTCACTGAAGTCGGTCGTATGAGTTCCGGATAATATTGACAATCTTCTCAGGAACTCCGTCGTGTCTATCCACACATCCATCTATCTATCTATCTATCTATCTATCTATCTATCTATCTATCTATCTATCTATCTATCTATCTATCTATGCCATTATAACATAATGTTTACATTCACTACACCAAACAATAGGAGGTTGATAGTATTACATACACTGATAAATACCATAATAATAAATAACAATAAAGACATAATGATAATAGATGAAATAATTTATTCTTAGAGAAGGCTACATTAGGGCATGTGCTTAGGACACTAAGGGTAAATTCTTTTCAATGGTTAAGATCATGAGTCAGTTGAAGCTAGACCACCATGGGAAACCTGGAAGCATTGGACAGCGGTTTCGTCCTATTGTGGCACTCCTCAGCAGTGAGCATCCACGACCTCGCCCCCTTCGAGATTCGAACCCAGGACCTACTGGTTTCTCGCCCGAGCACTTAACCAATTCTTTTATTTGAATAGAAATACTGAACAAAAGTATCTGTATTTATCATAACCGTATTATTAGTGATATTTTAGTGAACCAGAACATATTTTCTTAACCTTCTATTGTCAGGTATTTCATTTTCGATTGATGATACATACTACTTATATCTGTCGATATCAGTAGCACATATCATCATATTATGATTCAAAGAAGAAAACCAAAACAATCATTTCTTTTTTTTTCTTACTAATGACTTATCGACAAATAAGCATACAGTTAAATAATAAAGTTAATAATGATACACACCCAACATAACTTTAGATAATATTCCGTTTATAGCCGAGTGTCATTAATCATGACCAATCATACGTTGCAATGGATACGATTAAACATGACGCGAGCCTAACTTAATCTAAACACCCGTTGATCTATCGATTTCTACCTTTGAGTCAAGAAATATCAGACTGTATCCAAGTTGCTAGGTTCATAATTCAACATTCCAGCATTTATCTCAAACACTGATGAGCTTATCGGATATGAATGTGTCTCAAATAAGAATTCGTCCTTTGCATATTATCATGTTATAAGTAGTATAGAACTAGTATGTAATTCATTAGCAAGAATGAGGGTAGTAATATGTAAAACGTTAGTATTACCTTAACACAATAATTGATTGTATAATAAACATACAAATAATAATCATTATCAGAAAGGGGTTTTGTGGAGATTGTTGAGATCATGAGTCAATTGAAGCTAGATCATCATGGAAAACTTGGAAGCACTGGACAGCCTTTTTGTCCTATTTTGCGATTCCTCAGCTGTGCGTATCCATGATCCCGTTGGATGCCAGCTCAGTAGTCTAGTGGTTAAGTGTTCGCGCGCGAGACCAGTTAGTCCTGAGTTCGAATCCTGTGAGGCGCACTCGTGGATGCGCACTGCTGAGGAGTCCCACAATAGGACGAAACGACCGTCCAGTGCTTGCAGATTTTCCATGATGGTCTAGCTTCAACTGACTAATGACTTCAACAATTGAAATATTAATCTGTAAATTAGTTCTAAGTGTAACACTTTCTGTGGTAGCCACTCCACTACAACACGTCAGGAAACATACCAAAATTGGTAACCATTTCTCATACTGCCCAATCAAGAATAGGAGGGCATAATTAGCCGTTTTCTAGGATTATCTTGAAAGTTTTCACAAAGCACTAACTAGTCAAAGCAACTTACGTGACATCTGGAGACATTTTAAAGAGTCGTTGCATCAGTTCAGACAAGTGTACTATTCATCATGACAAACTAACTGATTGAATTTTATGTAATTCAATATGGAAAATGCAATATCATCCATCAGTAGTAAACATCTTTGAATAATTCTCATGTAGAAATAATATAAAGCTTATAAACTGTATTTAAACTGACACTTCAAATTTGCAAAATATTTCATGAATAACCTGTTCAGTTGGTTTGAAACTGCTCAAGAGAGTTGAGGTTATTTAACTCATGAACCATCAAACATACTTTGCAAAAGTCGACGTAATCGATTGGACCTCAGTGATCATGAAACATTCAAAGTCATGATCTGACAAGTTGTTATTCCAATCAAATCCTATAGTAAAAATTGTGGTAACAGTATTCGGTTCAACTATCTCACTAGGGTAATCACTTTACACCATTTCATTTATGGAATAGAAAAGGCTATTTGTCATGAATTGTGGACACCTACAGGCAGAAAATGTATTTACAATAAAGTCCAGGGTAACAGATTCATACACAAGTGAACATGATCCAGGACCATTCTATATTAGAAAAGATCAATTCTAGAAAAATAATTATCAGAGTTGGGTTGTGGAGATAGTCGATGTTCACTGAAACCATAAACCCATCAACGAGAACCTGGGGGCACTGGACGACTGCTTCGTTGTGGTATGAAACCCCAACACTGTTGGATCCCGACTCTGTAGACTATAGGTCAAACGTTTGCTCAACACCTAAATTCCTGTATTCAAGTCGCTCATAAAAAGTAAACAATTCCAACTGTTGCAGTCAAATACCAAGACGAAGCAACTGTCAAGTACTCTCAAGCTTTCAGTGGCGGTCTAATACTGATCAGTTCATGAGTTCAGTAGAGAAAGAATTATAGTCTGCACGACAAATCTCCTCTGAACATTAGCTGTATTCTTACTGTCTCATAATTTCGATGGCAAGTATAAATCTCCAAACTCATTCGATGTATTG